ACACACACACACACACACACACACACACACACACACACACACACACACACACACACACACACACATATATACATATGCATACTGCTACACAGCAGTTTATACATTTGTAAGTATGATTAATTAAAGATGCATCAATGTATTCATGTGCAATCCAACTTATTCATTGGTCTTTTTGAGTTTAGTTTAGTAACACACAGCATTAGCAGGTAGAACACGTGAATTGTTAATTTCTCAAAAATATTATTCAACATGACTGACCAAGTCTTTTATTTGTGCTAACTTATCTCTGAAATGTCTGATTACAAAAAAATAAACCGTCACATAAACAAATAAATGTACACCTCAAAGTTTTACATTTCCACGTCCGTAAAGTGAGTTTCAGTGTCTTAAAGGWGGTGATAAGAGAAGCTGGACCTCAAATGAAACCAGAGTGGGGAAAAATGGACAGAGCAAAACAAACTGTAGTTCATGATTRGAGCCAGCAGGTGACAGATAATTTCAACCAGAAGAATAAAGGAACTGATCAAAGTTGCATCTTAAAATTCAATTCAATTTGTTTTATTTATATAGCGCAGTGGATGCCCCGCCTCCATCCATGAATATTTCTGTTTCACTATATTACTTTGTCACTCAGCCAGCTTGGTTTTGGCGCCGCCTGCATTTCGACTTTGAACATCAGTAACACCTTTTGTCTGGAACGGCTGTAATGATCAGATAACACTTGGGCTATTTTTAACTTCTGGATGTGACTTTGGCCCAGAAAAATAAGATCAGAGTTGATTAGTGAAGCTTTTTGTGCTGCATCAAAAAGAAGGCCTTCATCTCACAAACACAGCTGAAATATGCAGATAGGACTAAAAAACAAGCTGTCTCATTCATCCCATTTAGGCACGCTAAGAATAACAGCTTCTTCTCTGACCTTAACAAAAAAAGAGAGAGCTTAAAAAAACAGGTTTATTTCAGGGAAATAGTCGATTATTTAATATCTCCAAAGGCAGGAATCAGGAAGACTCGTATACTTTTGACTTCTCAAGAGTCCTGTTCAGTAAAAAAAATATTCTTTTTTGTCCACATTTTCAGAAGCTGAGATGTTTGAGAGTAACCTGGAAGTGACTGGGAGGGTCAGTGCTTCCTCAGCGTGACAGAGCAGCATGAGTGTTTGATGGACAGATGAACACATGAATCAGTATGGCAAATGAACAATTATCCACCCAGAGGTTTTCTTTTTCCTTCTCAGTAATTGAAGTCTTAGCGTTCCCATCCGATGCTGATGCCTTTGTTTTTCGCCCGAGTGAGTCGCCCGCGCACCTTTCCATCAGTCTAACTGTCTGGTTAATCAGGCAAGCTCGCCTCCAGCAGCTCCAGCTGGTCTGCGGAGCGGGAGGCAGGCAGGGCGCGGCCAGATCAATGTCCTCGTGTCTGTCGGGAGACTCTGGAGCCCGCAGCCTCCCTGCTGCACTCTGTCAGCTCCACTCATCTCTGTAGGCTGCTTCATGAGCCTCTCAGCTGAAGAAGTAAGTGGATTCTTTCACCTGCTGGAGATCAAAATCACCTGAAGAGGCAAGAGGCAAAGTGTCAGAGCAAGTTTAAATCAGTGATTACACATGATCAAATATGTCCACAGCACTACATTTTTTTCTGTTAAAGGGAACCCAGAGTGGTTAATTAACATTTACTTCAACTGTAAAACAAGAACTGTAAAAATACTGTAGGTTGTTTAGTTTTTATAAGTTTTTTAAATTAAACCACAGCCACATGACTCAACCTGAACTTAAAATGCAGATGGAAGACAACAGAGCTGCTTCATGGAAGCAGAACCTCAGCTTAGCCTGTTAATTTATAGCATTAGCACCCTGGGCTAATACATATGTATAGCAATAAAGTGTTAGCACCCTGCGCTAATATACATGGACAAAATTGTTGGTACCCCTCGTTTAATGAAAGAAATGGCCTCAGAAATAACTAGAATCTGACAAATGTAATAAAAAATAAAAAATCTATCAAAATGAACTAATGAAAATCAGACATTACTTTTTAACCATGCTTTCAACAGAAGTGTTTTAAAAATGAAACTCCTAAAACAGGCCTGGACAGAATTGATGATATTCTTAACTTAATATTTTGTTGCACAACATTTTGAGGCAATCACTGCAATCAAACCATTCCTGTAACTGTCAATGACATTTGTGCACCACTCAGTAGCCCTGAGCTAATACATATATAGAGCGATATAGCGTTAGCTATACATATGAACTAATGCCACATATTTATTTGTAAAATATATACAGCGGGTAAAATAAGTATTGAACACGTCACCATTTTTCTCAGTAAATATATTACTAGAGGTGCTAATGACATGAAATTTTCACCAGATGTRGGTAACAACCCAAGTGATCCATACATACAAAGAAATCAAACCATAAATGTCCAGAAATGAAGTTATTTGTAATAATGTGGAATGCACAGGGAAAAAGTATTGAACACATGCACAGTTCTGCGCAAAACCCTCAAGCTCCCAGGCCTCTGGTAGAGGACCCGAGCTCAGAGGATGAAAGAGACCACCCGCGGAGGGTAAGAAGGGAATTTTTTTATATACATACAGTATATACATATATATACATACAGTATATAGTGTTGGTTCTCGAGCTAACATTATTTAGCTATGTGACAATCCTCGATCATCAAAGGTGAGTTAACGCATTTTTATTTTTATTTTTTTGAGATTCCAATAATCAAAAGTGATGCTGCGGACGTATAATATTCATTAAAAGGTAGAGACAGAAAACAGAAGTAACTTTATTTTCTCCTTCTGGTTGAAACCCAGGTTTTTAGCTCCAGCAAACAGCAGAATATTTTCTGTGAACTCTGATAAAGCTAATTTTAGCTCAGCGTGAGCTCCTGTCCTGCTCTTTGTGCATTGCCTTGTTTGCTCCCTGACAGCTGTGTTCACCAGCAGGAGCTGCAGTGTGAATTATTGAGGAGTGAGCATTAAAAAGTGAAGATTGAAATACTTCAAGGGGCTTCAGAACATTATCAGTACTTCCATACACTGACCGTTGACCTACATCTGGGGTCATGAAGAAAATGTGCACAAATACGTTTGTTTTGTTAGAATTTTCTGTTTCGCACCAGGTGAATTGCTGGTCAGTTATTGACTTATTTGTGTTTTATTTTATTTTATTTTTAAAGCTGCATAATTTGTCTTCCTAAATGGAGATGTTTCTCTAATTAACTTTCAACATTTGTATCTTACACCTCTGTGGCTAATGCAGGAATGTTGTGTGGCAACAGAAGACTCACCACCCAAATTATTTACTTTCACCATATAAGATTTTTTCTGTCACTAAATCAGGCAGTAATTAAAGGAAATTGTAATTTATTTAAACCCCACAATTTACCAGAAACCCCTGACTCATCTAAAATGATTTATGCACAAAGAAAACACCTTGTTCCACTTTAACAACAAATTCAGGACCTCTTAGGTTATAATGGATTTCAATACACATTCAGTAGGTTTTCTATTAGAACAAGTGGGCATTAGGGAACACCCACCACCCTCTGAGGTGCACAGCTGAATGGTCTCAGCTAAATAAGCTGATTATGCAAGTGAGGAACACAATTAACAGTAATCAGTTTGTACAAGCCAGCTGTCGGTGCTCAGCAAACAGTACGAGTACAGATGGAGACGGAGAGAAGCCTGAATCTACCTGCCTCTGTACAGCCCCTCTACAGTGTCTGTAAAAAGTATGTAAATACAGCAACAGAATGTCAGGTGATTCACCAGTCTGAGTTTTGTAGGGGAGAGAGAGGAAAGAAAGAAAACTCATTAAATCRTGACTACAGTTTGCCACACAGCATGTGGAAGACTCCAAGGTCAAGTGCTTCTCGGCCGTRGGCCCTAATCACAGCCTCCTTCAGAGTGGTCTCAGGTGTACTGGTGGTCTCTCTCAACAMTCTCCTTCACGGTCGCTCAGTTTGTGAGGTTGACCTGCTCTTGGTGGATTTACTCACATACACCTTTCATTACTTGATGATGGGTTTAACAGAACTCCCAAGGATGTTTAGGACCTTGGAAATTCTTTTGTATTCATCCAATAACTTGTACTTTTCAATCAACTTCTCTATGAGTTYAATTAACTGGAAAATTGTGGGAATACACTCCTTTGGGTCAGGGGGGAGTCTTTGCTTCAGGTGGAGGAGTTCTAGTATCTGGGTGTAATGTTGCTGAGTGATGGTAGGATGGAGCGGGAGATGAAATATCAGGGCCTCYTCCTCAGTAATGAGGCTGTTGCTTCGGTTGGAAAAATAAAAAGTTGAGGCAACAGGCAAAGCTCTGGATTTACTGGTCCATCTATGTTCCAKCCTTTGGTCAGGAAGTTGGATTGTACAGAAAGAATGACATCCTGGATATGAGAAGMTGAAATGATRTTCCTTTTTAGGGTGGAAGGGCTCAGCCATTYATGGAGCCAGTTGAGGTGGTTCATCTGATTAGGATGCCACCTGGACACCTCCCTTTGGAAGTTACTGGGCATGTCTCACAGGGAAAAACCCTGAGGCAGACTTAAAACTCACTGGAGTGATAACACACTGCCTGGCCAAAAAAAACTCACCAGCAAAAAAAGGTCATACTCAAATATTTAGTTGGACCGCATTTAGCTTTGATTACGGCACGCATTTGCTGTGGCATTGTTTCAGTAAGCTTCTGCAATGTCACAAGATAAATTTCCATTTAGTGCTGCAGTAATTTTTCACCAAGTTCTTGCATTGATGATGGTAGAGTCTGACCTTCTCCTGCACATCCCAAAAATTCTCAATGGACTCTGTGGAGCCAATCCATGTGTGAAAATGAAGTCTCATTGCTCCCTGAATCACTCTTTCACAATTCCAGCCCCATGAATCTTGGAAATGTCTTCTTGGAATATGGCCGTACCATCAGGGAAGAAACAATCTATTGATGGAATAACCTGATCATTCAGTATATTCAGGTAGTAAGCTGACATTATTATTTGAGCACAAACTGTTGCTGAACCTAGACCTGACCAACTGCAGCAATCCAACATCATAACATTTAGTTAAATCTAGGAGGAGACTTTTCTTTGGGCCGGGCAGTGTGTATTATTGTCTCTAGTTTGGAAATACTTTGGGATGCCCCCCAGGAGGAGCTGGAGAGTCACTGGCTGTGTCTCAATTCAGGGGCTGGGTCCTCATGAGGACCCAGCC